TTTTTTTTTGCTTTTTATTTGTTTTTTATGACTTTTCCATTTAATCTGATTCACTGTAATCTGATTTAATTTGTGATACAAAACATAAACGTTAATTTCATTTTCTTGCAAATTATAGTATTTTCTTTTTCTTATCATTTCAATATTTTTTTTTTCCGATTGTTGTGCTCCATAAATAGGCCATCAACATTTAAAATGTATCAATAGATTTCTGTGATTTCCTAAATCCAGATCCCTCTCCATCCTCTGTTGGATGGTCTTATCCAAGAGGTTGTCAACCTTGCCTTCAAGCACTTCAAATATAAGGAAGGGTAAGTGCACCGATTAAGAAACACTGGCTTTCAGTCTTATGTTTGTTGTATTCACAGGCCGACAATTCACCAATAATGATGATAATTGTGGCTTTTTTTTCCCTTTTTTTTTGGTTTTATTTAGGTATCTGGGGCCGAACACTGGTAACATGCACATAGTGGCTGATCTCTATGCAGAAGTAGTGGGTGTCGTTGCTCAGTCAAGGTACGGGATTTCACTGTTTTTGTCGTAGATGTGCTGCTTAGTCATGTTGATTTCTGCCTTATACTTTGCTATTTATTTAGCAAAAGTGAAAAAAATTGACATTCATATGCTGCACTCTGTTTATCTGTGTCTGTATGTGTTTATGCACTCATGGATTATAATGACACTCTAGACGACGGCCCCCTCGCTGTGTAATGTCTGTGATGAGAGATTCCATTTTGTCAAAGATTACATTCATGTCTTTGCCAAAACAGCTCAATAACTGCCACTAGACACAAAACACACACTGTTTAACAAGATCAGCAGTTTAAAAGTCAACACTTTAATATCAAGTAAGTAAACAGAGAAATGCGTCACAATTACAAGAATACAGGAACTACATATAAAGGAACTTTAGTGCGAAAAACATCCCTGTCCAGTAAATATGGGAAACTTGGAAAATTTGGAAACGGATTGAAGTGGAAAACGGCCAAAAGATCAACATGGCAGCATCCATTTTCCCAACAGAACACAGATAGCAGTGATGGGCCTTCATTTTTTCTTAGTCGGGTTCTGGTGGAACCAGTCTGGAACTAGAGTGCACCTTCATTGTTCTCACTTCATACAAGAAAAGAAAAGCTCCTGTTATTTTTTGGGTTCCTACACAATATTTTTTAAAATTTGTTTGGTAGAGACCGACCGATTCCGGTCAGTAGGTTTTCCTCCTTGGTTTAGACACCACAGCTTTGAGACATCTGAGGGTATGTGAGGAGAGCACATGCTCTTTCCCTCTACATCACCCCTCCAGATGCCTTTCTAAATTTAGGCCTGCTGGTTGAATACATCAGGATCATGTGTAAATACACAAACACACACTGAGCCTCCACTGATCATAGAATTTACATGCAGAGAGATGTCCATAAATAAACCATTTTTGCTTGTTTTTTTTGTAATAATTCCAGTAACTAAAGCCCCATTTAGAAAAAGCAGAGTACATTGAAACCCCACCGGGTAGAACAGTTGTTCACATCTGGTCACCATTTCCCTCGTCAGGTTCCCAGCAGTGAGGAAGAAGTTCATCTCTGAGCTCAAGGAGCTGAGACAAAAGGAGCAGAGCCCGTACGTCATTCAGTCCACAATCAGCCTCATTATGGGGCTCAAATTTTTCCGCATCAAAATGTACCCAGTGGAGGACTTTGAGGCTTCTTTCCAGTTCATGCAGGTAGGCTGCATAGAAACCATTCCCTAACTTTGTTATTTACCAGATGCAATCTTACTTTGAATCCACTGACATCTGGTAGCTGGCTTAAGCTATCAGAGAGGTGGTTGCAGTAATCAGGGGTTGGGTGTCTGACCTGTTTTTTTATAGCAATTGAGAAATGTGGTTGTAATTTCCTCCCTTCATAATGGAGCAGAGATTTGAACTGATGACCTTGCGTAAACATGTGTTTCGATCGCTGATCCTGGTTCTCTCTTGCTGTCTGCAGGAGTGTGCACAGTATTTCCTGGAAGTGAAGGATAAAGACATCAAGCACTCATTAGCTGGACTCTTTGTGGAAATACTTGTACCTGTTGCTGCTGTAAGTGCTCTTTGCTGAGCAGTTCAGTTACACATGAAGTCCCAATTTGACTGCAGGGTTTTTTTCCTTTATAATAAGACAAAAGGTGCTAAAAATTTAGAAAAAACTAAATGTTGAAAATCTGATACTTTTGTTGTTGATATTCAATAAAAATACACAGTTCATTACGTCATAGTACCAAGATAATGTAAAGAAATATGACCTTTTATTTTCTAAAAAGAAATCTGCATTTTTTTTTTCCCACCAGACTGTAAAGAACGAGGTGAATGTTCCATGTTTACGAAATTTTGTGGAGAGTTTATACGATACCACTCTGGACCTGTCCTCCAGGAAGAAGCACTCTCTGGTAGGTTTCTGACCATATTATGTTTCATCGCTCTTCATCTCTTCTCCATTACCAACAGTTGCTGAGAGCACTTACTGTAGCTCTCTAACATGTGGACTTTTATCACTCAGTGATGGACGGGATGAAAGGTTAAAGAATTGCTCTATACTGCAGGGAAAACTAGCTTTCGGAGCCAGATTGGCTTTATTAAACTACAGCATGTAGCGAACTGTTGGAGGCACTACAATACTAGTAAAACCATATTTTCCTAATTAGTTTCGTTGAGCTCTTACCTGCTTTTATCAGATTGGTTTTACCATAAGGAGTTTGCATCAAATTGAAATATTCTACTCTTTACTGTCTTTTAAATAAATTGTTTAAATGAAAAGGAAAAGAAAAATTGCAAATAAAACAACCCAAAGTTACAGAGCTCTCCGAGCCAAGGGACAGAGGTATCCTTAGAGATCTCAAAAAAGAGCTGAAAAGACTTAAAACATCTATTATAGGGCAGATTCTCACTTTGTTTCCCCACCTTGGTCTAAGCCTGTATTGCTGATTTAAATACTGTCCAGCAAGCTCTGCTCCAGACCAAAAAAACTGGACCTAGACACACTTTTTCAGGTGGTCTTGGTCCGCTTCCATACAGACTCTCCTGTTTGCTTCAGGTATGAATACAAACCAGCCTTGGTCCGACCCAAATGATGAAATCTTACGTCTCTTTGGACTTAACAAGCCAAAGAGATCATATATCATAGCTGTTTCACTGTCTGTTGCCTAGCAACACTGCTGCCAGCAAACAGTGGATCTTGTTTGGTTTGAAAGGATGCATTTTCCTATACCATTACACAATTACAAATAAAAAGTCTCAAAATCTACATTGTCAGAGCTGCTCTTCAAACTCTTAATGTTTTTGCAGCGGAAAAAAACAGCATAAATATGCAAAAGAGAGGCTCTGCATAGTAGTTTTCCTCCATTTCCGGGTCTTTGTTTTGTCCTGCCGTAGACATTTCTGACCAATGGGAGCAGTGATCATCACATGCATGGCTTTGTTGTGACTTATAGTCTACTTGCAAAAATATCAATTTGAATATGAACCGGACCCAATGAAAAACATCAAGTCTGCTTTTGTTTCAGACTAAACAAGTGAACCATGGACCTTTCTGGTGTGAATGCACCCTTACTGTTTTAAACAATAGATTATAGCACATAAACTCGTTTCCTCTTCCCTTCACATAGATAAACCATTTTGTTAGATTTTCAGAAGTTTCACAAGATAGATATTCAACTTAGTAAAAGAAAACATTTGGAAAAAGATCTGAATTGCTTTATGTTACATTCAGTCATTTATTGTGACTACAAATGGGCCCTAAGAACACTAAACTACTTAAAAATAAATATCCTCAGACTAGAGGTGATAATAATAACCTTTGGTGCTTTTAAACAAAGTGGTGGACAGTAGGTGAAAAAAACAAGAGGAAACAGGAATATTAAAGCAATACAAAGTTTAAACATTAAGTTAGGCAGCAGGTGAACATGTGGGTGTTTAGCTTTGCTTTAAAAGCCTCCACAGAACAAAACTGCTGAATGTCTAGAGAACGATTGTTCCACAAAGATGGATCATGAAAGGAAAAAGGATGCTTCCCTAGAGTTCCTTTTTAGCCTTAGGAACTTTTAGAAGACCTGATCGAAGAGCTCGAGATTGGATAGAAAAGTTCAGATAGATAAAAAGAGCAGTGATGTCACACGTTGTGTTTGAAAGTAAATAATGTGCTGCTCTACAGCTCAACAGGATTTCACTGACATTTCAGTAGAAAAAGGAGACATTCTGAACTATCTTAGCATAAATATTTAGCTATCATTAACATCTGTACCTGTGTGTATCCCTCCTTACCCTCAAGATTACAATCATTATTAAATTCCAGCTAGAATTTGACTTATCACAGAAAAATTAGGGCAACTTTACATTAAGACTTTCAGCTCCCTGTTAATCTGTTGTCATCTATCAGTGCCTCAATAAAAAATACCTTTTGATTTCTAAAAGCTTCTTACAAATGTTTTGCTTTTTTTATTCATTTTCAAAACACCTCAATACTAAAAGTAGATTGGATACAGTAAATACCTGGTGTATATATATATATATTGATAATTTCATGACACATTTGTAGATATATAGTCTTTATATAGTATTCGTAACTCAGGAAGCATGTTCAGGTGTTTGCGATTAGAAAGCTCATATTTATTGGGTGCCAAACTTCTGATCAGATCATAGATAGTTAAATATAAAAATGACCAAAACGGATCAGAGAAATATTTTTGCTAATTAGTTTACCGTGTATGTAGTTCCTGCACCCTCCTCTAAAGCGCTTTTCTTTATTTAAATTTCATACGTCCTGCCTTTTTTTGATTGCTTGATTTATATGGATTTGGGAAATGTATAGTCTTGCCAAAGATTTATTTATACCAAAGAAGAAAATTATGTGTTTTGTAACCATTGAATCAGTATCTGTCTTGTGCAGCTGATGAGAAAACGATCAGATACGTCATTAAAAGAGCAACAAATGACTTCATTTATCAAAAACAGAGAGTTTCTCCCCACATTTAATGGCTTCAGATAAAATGTTGAAAAACGCATGATCACGATTTAACAAAAATTATTTCATAAAAGGATTTTGGCATTTAATAATGTAAATCTTATCTTTGGCAGTAGGTTAAGAAATAAAATGTTAAAGTCGTTTCTGATGTTTAAAGCTGCAGTAAAAAGTTATTTTTAAACAAGCAGTGGATTTTACCCCCCACAGGTGAGTAACTGCTAACCAGCAGCGTCTCAGAGCTGCTGTCTATTGTTATTGTTGTTTGCTGCCGATGTGCTATGTTGGATATCTATCTGGGTTCCTTGTTCTGCTGAAGCAGACACCCATCCTGTCTGGCCTGCAGATATGCCACCCTTCCAGTATGCAAGTTACTTTCAACAGATTCTCCAAATACTCCAAACAACACATTCAGTCTGGCTTCTACACTCCCATTTCTAAACAGCAGTTTTGTTTTGCAATTTTTTCTTAATGAGCATCTCACTGTTTTCACACCCACTAACAATAACCTGCATTGTCAGATAGCAGAACGGACAAGCACGCCAAACACGACGGTTATGTGGTTCATTTCTCTAATTGTTATACTTTTACATGCCTGAGCAGCAACATGAGAAGAGCTATTGAAATGGACCAGAGGAAAACAAATACTCTGAGTGATAAGTAGTGACAGGCAGAAGATGAACTTTGAATGTCAAATTTACAAAAAGAGTCAAAAGGAGGGTTCATCTGGATTAAAATAGATATATAGCTGGACGTTGTTCATTTTGAAGAACATTAATACCGTCTGCATTTAATGATAGGTAAAGAACAGCAAGTTTATGATTTCTTTTTGTTAATTTTGGTTTTACTGCCGCTTTAGGACAAGAAGATTTAGATTTTTCATTTTACTCTTGGGATATTCATGTAGAAGATTCAACTTTTAAAGTAACCAGCTGCGTAATTAATAGAGAAAACTTTTCTTAAGCCATCTCACTTGTTCATTTATTTTTGTTTCCTTATTTGATATGGACATCACATAAACACTGGAAACCAACAACACCAGCCCATAGGTGGCTTTTAGAACAAAATTACAATTAAACAATAAGACCATTAAGATTTTAAAATGTTGAAGAGTTTTGAATTTACAAAAGCAGTGCAATCCAAAAGTCATTTTATACATTAATGTTGTGACGTCTCTCCCCATTCCAGGCTCTGTATCCGCTGGTGACATGCCTGCTGTGCGTCAGTCAGAAGCAGTTCTTCCTCAGCCGCTGGCATATTTTCTTGAACAACTGCCTCTCAAACCTCAAGGTCGGTTTTCTGTCTGCATCATTCAAATTAATTTATCTATAATACAGTGACTTATTAAGCATTTTAAACCCTTGAAATATTCCTCAATTAGTCGCATTCTGTCCTCAAACTTTGAGTTTGTTTTTGAGAGACCAACACAAGGTAGTGCATATTTTAAAACTGGAAGGAAAATTATTTTGTTGGTTTAATTTTGTTCTTAAAAATAAGCCTGTGTTGTTTAAGCCAATTAATCAAACCCTTAAATAAAATCCAGTGCAACGAATCATCTTCAGGAGTCAGATAGGTGAGTAAACATATAAAGTTCATTCACTTATCAACAACTAAAGAGAGCATGGGACAACCTTAAACCAACAACATACACATAAAAAGCCACAGAGGATAGCCAACTTAAGTTAAAGGATCTGTCACCTTGACAACCACCATGATCTTTCATAAATATTGGCCAGAAAGAAGACAGTAGACTCCTATTAAAGGAGGATGAATAAAGCTAATTCCATGCTAATTCTGTTCGAGGTTACTTTCACACGTCTCTAATTCTGTTTCAGTTTTGCAATTACTGTAGTGGTACTTAAAATATGAGGAACGCTTGCTCAATTTCTGCCTTTGAAATAAAAACAATAAAAGCACACATTTAACACACCTAAATTTCACAACAGCACCAGCTTGCTGTCTTTCATCTGGAGAATCAGTATGTTTTTCCTCAGGCCAAACATCACCAACTAACAAGCAAGTGATTGATTTGTTGTTGTGCAAAAATGTCTGTTTAAGTTCATGACCTCTCTGTAAGATATGAGAAGTCACGATATGTTGAGCATAGCATTAGTTACCATCTGTACGGGGGTTTAAAAAAGACCTGAAAGGGTTTATTTGTTCTTTTTTTTCTTTCTCTATGTGTGTCAATGCAGAATAGAGACCCCAAAATGGCCCGTGTGGCGCTAGAGTCTCTGTACCGCTTGCTGTGGGTCTACATGATCCGGATAAAGTGTGAGAGCAACACTGCAACACAGAGGTAACAGTTAACTATAGACACACTTGCTTTGCACTCCGCTTACTGCAGTTTAAACTTTACATAGCTTTGTTGTTATTATCAGGCCATAGATTAATCTATTGTCTGGTCTTCCTTCTGTTTTGACCCCTTTCTCCTGTTTATTTTCTTTTTTTCACAATCTTGTTAAGAAGAGAATATTTCATAATTTAAAAGCAGCGTATATAAATATGCTCTCACTAATTGTTTTTCTTTGTCTTTTAGCCGTCTGACGTCCATCACCTCTACATTGTTTCCTAAAGGGAGCCGTAGTGTCGTACCAAGGGACATGCCTCTCAATATTTTTGTCAAGATTATCCAGTTTATTGCTCAGGTGTGTAAATTATCTTCCCAAACTAGTTGAACGCCTGATTTCACTAAGTCACTATTATTCATTAAAAACTGCACCTGATTTTTATATTTACTGCTAAATGATAAAATGATTCTCTGACAATTGAAGGGAAAATATTTTTTAGGGTAAGTAATTATCAATTTTTAGATGCATTTTATGAAATGTGAAAGTTCTCAGAAGTCACTGTGTTTTTAGTTTGATAAATGTAATTTGAGCTGCTTATGCAGTTGTCCGTATTCCATGGATGTTTGAACTCTTTCCATAGATACTTACGTGCTTTCTATGGGTTCCTAAAAACTTACTGTCTTGAATTTTTTTAATAAAAGGTCCTAAATTAGATTCAGCCACATGTTTCTTTAAACCATTTAAAGTCATCTACAGTATAGGCACATTTAGGGTGAAATATTGCCTTTGGAGCTGTTGTGTGTTTACAGAAGGTTTCCTCTGTAAGAGCAGCATGTTTTGTCATCCTTTTAGGAGAGACTGGATTTTGCCATGAAGGAGATCATTTTTGACCTTTTGAGTGTTGGGAAACCTGCCAAAGCCTTCAGTCTGAACCCAGAGGTAAGGAGAGCAGAAACAAGTGTTTATGCATTTGAACTCTAGCACACAGCAGTCCAACAGTGTATCTCCTCTGGCCTCCTAGATGTTATTGAAATAGGTCCAGAACAATATGTTCTCTGTTGGAACCTTGCATCTGACTTCAGACCGTTTTCCTCTCAGAGTTTAGAAAAAGGTTCTTATTAGCTGATTTAGTTGCTATCCTGCCATTTGTTTTAAATGATCGAAGCAGGTTTTACAGAAATAAACAATATATAAAGCTGCATAAAGTAGTATGGTAATTATATGGTAATTATTTCTTTATGTGATGTTTCCTGCAGCGTATGAACATCGGTCTGCGTGCGTTCCTGGTCATAGCAGACGCTCTGCAGCAGAAGGACGGAGAGCCCCCGATGCCAAACACAGGAGCAACTCTGCCCTCTGGGAACTCCTTAAAGAAGAAGAAAACCTACCTCAGCAAAACACTCACTGAGGAGGAAGCCAAGCTAATAGGTCTGATTCTGTCAGCAAGGTTTTACTCTGCTTTAATGGGGGTGTTAACACCATTATGATTTGTCTTTGTCTGCTCGCTGCAGGGATGTCTCTGTACTACTCTCAGGTGCGGAAATCTCTGGACAACATCCTCAGACACCTGGACAAGGAGGTTGGTCGTTGCATGATGCTCACCAGTGTCCAGATGCTCAACAAAGAGCCAGAGGACATGATCACGTATGTTTCTGAACTATAACGCTTCAGAATAATCAACCTTTATTTAAGAAGAGTTATTGGTACCTAATGTGTAAATCTATCCTGGTTAGCGGCGAGAGAAAGCCTAAAATCGACCTGTTTAGGACATGCGTGGCGGCCATTCCTCGTATCCTTCCTGACAGCATGTCCAAACCAGAACTCATTGACCTACTTTCTCGGTAACATTTCACCTGCTTCTATTTAAAATAGTTTTAAATCTTTGTAAATAATTCTCTAAATACACATTAAAATGTTGTTCTTTTCTTTTGTCTCAGACTTACGGTGCATATGGACGATGAACTGCGTCTCATTTCTCAGAACTCTCTGCAGAGCCTGTTACTGGATTTCTCTGACTGGCGGGAAGATGTTCTGTTTGGTTACACTCATTTCCTTTTACGTGAGGTAAAGCAGAAACTAAATCAACCTGCACTTAAAATCTGGCTTATTATGTTAGAAGAAGTTTATTATTTATCATTATTATGTTCCTTACTGGCAACATTTATGACTTACCAAAGTAAAAATGTGGGGACAGAATCTAAGTTTAAAAATCACTTAAAATCCCACATTTAAATCTTTAAAAATCTTAAATATTTTAAATAAATCTCATTGAAGCAGATTATTATAATATATTCTTTAACTTTTTTTTATTTAGTCACAAGTAGAGGTTTGTTAAGGGGGAACAAAACAGTTTGAATCCTGCAGCAAAGAAGAGCATCACCTGTCAAATACTGTATATCCACTGGTTGTTTAGGGCTGATTCTAGTAAAACAAATATTTAACATGTTCAACCCTCATAATTATGAACATTTGAGTTTAGTGAACTCATTTACTGGAGCTTTTGCAAAACTTAATTATTTAGCTCTTTAAATGTATTATATGATTATTTCTATCATGCAGTTCATTGTTTTATTGTAACAGGCTTTGTGCCATGCCATATTACAAGTATTATGGAGGTCTAAAAAGTCCTCTTTCTGTTTGTTAGGTCCAAGACACCCATCAGGGTCTGCAAGATGCATCTGTCAAGCTCCTCCTGCAGCTGCTCACACAGTGGAGGTTAGCTCTGCAGCTTCAGGGGAAGATGCGAGGAGGAGCTGATGTAAGTATCAATAAAAAACAACTGGATGCTTAATTTCCTAAAAATCAAGGAACTTGTTTATGCAAGTGTGTTTTTTTTTTCTTTGAAATGTGAGTTTTCTCCATAAAACATGTCATTGTGGTGTTCGGAACAAAGGAGGAGGAGTTCCATTCACATCCATATACAGTTTAATGTGTAAAGCAGTATAAGACTCTCTCTGATCCTTGCTCCTTCTTTCCTTCAGACCAGCCCCAGACTCCCAGAGCGCAGCCCTCATTGCTCGGTGCTCCATGCGGTGGAGGGTCTGGCTCTGCTGCTCCTCTGCTCGTGTCAGATCAGCACGAGGAAGCTCGCTGTTGGCGTTTTAAGAGAAATACGCTGCCTGTTTACAGCTCTGGGACATGCTGAGGTAAAAATAAAATAAAGCTGGAATCTTTAGAGAACAAAGGTTGAGGCTTCTGTTGTTTTTAAATGTTTTATATATGAAATTTCATAAATACAAAGACTAGTTGTTTATATGTGCAGAATATTATCAAAATCAGTAACTATTTGGGCGATATTTAAATGATCAGTTTTGATATTAGCAAAAATCTCACATGTGATGCTGATTGTATGACTGTCACCTACAGGATGATGACAAACCCATGGTGGAGGTCATGGACCAGCTGAGCCCAGCTGTATTGAACAGCTTTGTTCACGTGGCTCACTCTGACTCGGTGAGTGTTGATTAAAGCTGCCCTTCATGACCCAGGACAACATTTTCTTAGAATGTGTTCTTTAAATCCCCCCTTTTTTCTTCCAAGTCATTGCCGCTCAGTCACCACGTTGACCTCCAGTGGCTCGTGGAGTGGTCGGCTCGGCTGGTGAGCAGTTCCTACGACGTGAAGAGCCCCAGCTATGTCTGGATCTTCGCACAGTGTGTGAAGGACCCGTGGGTGCTCTGTCTGCACATCTTCCTGCGACAGGAGCATCTGCCCAAACACTGCTCCACCGCACTGGGATACGCCTGGCCCTACGTTTTCACACGGCTACAGCTGCTCCTGCCACTAGTTGACCCCAAGTACGACAGCCAATCCATATTACGCTCCACGCCGAAAGCTGAGTAGGATCTACATTTTTCTCTCTGTGTTTCTTTCTGCAGCAGTCCGGTTAATGCAAAGAAGACCAGCACCGCAGCCTCCAGCGACAGCTACATTTCATTGTGGCGGAATTACTTGATCCTGTGTCTGGGCGTGGCCAAACCTAGCATTATGTCACCAGGACACCTGAGGGCTTCCACACCTGAGATCACTGCCACCACCCCTGATGGCAGCGTTACTTATGACAACAAGGTGCGTGTCTATGCTCCGATGGAAACGTTATTTAGTGGCTCCATGTTAATTCACCTCTTTGCCAGTTGTACCTCCATATACCACAGCCTTGCTTTTTTATCCCTTAACTAACTAAGTATTAAATCACTGCATATTGACAGTGGTACTGAACCATCTTTGGTCCAGTTGACGCTTATGAAATATGACAGATTATGAAGCGTCATCCAAAAAATGTAGGGTAGAACAATTAATTGTAAGACATAAAAGCAGACTTTTAAACCAGCTTAGAAACATTTCCTAAAGAGGGTAGGAGTGAACGACTGGCTTGTATGTAACTTCAAATAGAAGACAACTTAAGATACGAGAGCTGCAACTAACGATTATTTTTGCAAAGCGATTAATCTGTTGATTATTTTTTCAGTT